AATTCTTAAAACATAATATTACATCCTGTTTTGGGCCTATGAAATTAATTTGAAATATCCTATTCTGGACAATATAGGTTTGCCTAAAAAAATTACAGTAAGCGTCACATCACAGTGAGAGTAAACAAATTTGTTAACAAGTTAAAAGTGTTAACATGGTCATTTTCAAGGTGACATTTTAACAAGTGTGTTAACATGATCATTTTAAGGTGACATGTTAACACAAGATAACAAAAGGAACAATTTAGTTAGCCTAAAAGTGCATAATTTGGACATTTTCATCTCAAATTTCTATGGTCAAGAACTAAATATAATGTAATCTTAAAAAAAATCAATATTTTTTATTGTTTGTTAGCTAATTTTTTTTGTCTTTAATTTATACCTACCAAAAAGTTGAATTATCATTTATCAAATTCATAACAAGAAAAGCAAAGAATTTCATTCCCTTCATATAGAAGGATTGGTACAGTATTATTATTACAAATTCAGTTAACCCCTTTAACACCCGACCATCTACAAATGTTCTTTTTATGTTTAATCATTCATACATCAATAGCCTTTCCAGAAAAAATAATCTGTCACTACAAAAAATTTGGTCATTTCTAAAAATGAAGGACATTTTATATCAAAATTTTGTAAAATTTGTTTGCTTAGCCATCTAAAAGAAGACCAAGATAAATGTATTTTTTTGTTATCAGCTGTCTATAAGTTTTAATGACCTTTGTCATCAAACATGTAAAACTCGCGATTGAATCACAACTTTTGTCCAAGAAAGGACCAAAAGTCAATATTATTAAACATTTAAATCAATTTTGATGAATATCAAAATGTTTTAGAAATAAGAAAATATTATGGTTGTTTAATAGCAAGGTTTCAATCATCGCGTTAGCGAAATATTCATTAATTTTCTATAAAATATATTTTTTTCTGTTAGTTTTAATTACTACCTCTTTAGATGTTATAAACAGTGTTTAAGCAAGTCTTTATGAACACATTTAAGTGTAAATTGACCTTCAGAAAATGAAAATAATTTCATAATACAAAGAATCATTTCTCAAAGATTTATTATTTAGTAATGTATAATTCCATCAAATGGATTTTTATTAATTTTTGTTCTAGCGTGTGGCTGAGTATTTAAAGATAAATTGATAGTTATTTTGTGTGGCCAAGTAATGACTCTGAACGGTTTTATGTTAAGGAACCTTTGAACTTGCTTTTTTGTACAGCTCCTTAAAATCATGAAAGGAGAACTACAAATTTCATTCCTTTTCATTTATTAGTCATAAGAAATTCTCAAATTGATTTTTAGTAGCTCTCAAATCTTAGTTTCTATCTTATCTATGAATTTATTGAAAATATAAAATTTGAAATGCAGTTACTGCTGCATGTAACAGGATACTTTATAATTTCTTCAATTGAAAAAAAAAAAATTCATATAGTGACTTGAACCACTCTTTATGTTAACGTTTACCTGTTTCCGAGGGTAAAATTGTTGTTACAATGTAATTATAGGGGCAAGAACAGATGGAACCAAGAAACAAAACTGGAGACAATATTTCATTACATTTCAGTGTACTGAGATGTTGACAAAAAACTCAATGATATTTGAATAAAAAAATCGTTTATGACCGTCATCAGAATTTTTTATGAATAAATAATCTAAAATGCAAACAAACAAATGCAAATTCTGCATATGTTGAATATGTCTTTACAAAATAATGGCAGAATTTCTAACAGTAGACAGTTTTTATCATAATTACATTTGCATCAAAATTTTACTTGTGAAATAAATTTCTGCTGCTATATAATGCTATAAAAATTCACTATACTTTTCACCTGACTGTGTTGTTTTTATAGGCCAAGTATCAAATATTCATCATTATTTAATAATATTATTCCTTATAATTGAATCTGTCTGACTTAGAGGCTTATTAGGACATGGAGATTTCTGTCTGTGCATTAAAATTATATTTAACAGTTTTGAAATTTCATCTACAAAATAGCCATTTTTAATCATAAACTTATAAATAAGAGAAACTTACATATATTTTTAATTGATGTAGAATAAAACAGAATGTCACTGAATTATTTTTTTATTAGAACAAAATTGAAAAAAATACATCTATGAAAAAAGTGTGTTCCACAGATCTCTCTACACTTTTTAATAAACAGCTGCGCCATGAGCGTATGATACGCCCATCGTCTTGTGTGTGAATTTTTATGCAATAATCATAAATAGTTTCTGACATACGGCCTGATATGCGAAAACCCCCCTTTTTTTTTACAAAAACTCAATATTTCTAAAATAAAATTTTGAATCAAAACCAAAAAGTATACAGATCTTTAGATTAATATAACTAAGAAGTGTGTAAAATTTTAAGCAATAATCATAAATCGTTTTTGAGATACGGCGCAACATGTGAAAACCCTCCTTTTTAAAAAAAAAAATCAATATCTCAAAAATAAAATTTTGAATCAAAACCAAAAAGTATTCAGATCTTTAGATTAATATAACTACGAAGTGTGTAAAATTTTAAGCAATAATCATAAATCGTTTTTGTGATACGGTGCGACATGTGAAAAACACCTCCCCTTTTTTTACAAAATACTCAATAACTCAAAAACAAAATTTTGAATCATCACCAAATAGTACACAGATCTTAAGATTAATATAACTAAGAAGTGTGTAAAGATTTAAGCAATAATCATAAACTGTTTTTGAGATACTGGGCGACATGTGAAAAACCCCTCCCCCTTTTTTAACAAAATACTTAATATCTCTAAAAGAAAATTTTGAATCATCACCAAAAAGTATACAGATCTTAAGATTAATATATCTAAGAAGTGTGTAAAGTTTTAAGCAATAATCATAAATTGTTTTTGAGATACGGCGCGACATGTGAAAAAAAACACACACCTGTTTTATTTACTAAGTCCAGTAACTCAAAAAGTTTTAATCTTATTTTCCCCAAAAAGTATACAGATCGTTTGACCATCATAAGAAACAACTATGTTAAGTTTCATGAAATTTGGATAAGCTGTTTTCAAGTTACGGTGCGACATGTTTACGCCGGACAGACAGACGGACAGACGGATAGACTGACAGAGGACATTTGTAAACCATAATACGTCCCATCAAAATTTTGACGGGCGTATAAAAACCAGAGTCTGCAAGTAATTTTTTATATTTTCAACATCTAGTTATAGCAGCATTTTGTTCTGAGTTGCTGGAAAAACTTCATTGAGTGCTCATAAGCTGCATACAGATAAAGATTAAGTTAATCTCTAATGTTCTATTTAAAAAGAAAGCCAACCAATTAGTTGTTAATTTGCATAACATGATTTAGATTTGAAATAGGATTATTGATTGATTGATTAATTGTTGCATGTTAAGGTGGCTCACGGGTATAAATCAATTTTTTTTTTAAATATAGGATTTCACTATTTTTTTCTATAAATAAACTCTATCCTTTACTTAATAGAAAAACAAAATAAAAATATGGGGTCACTGTTCATTTAAGCTCAAAATCTGCCTTTGAAATAAGCATGCATTTTTGTTCAGGTACTTTTTTTCTGTTAAACTAATAGGAGAAAAAAAGGTAATAATGAAATAAAAAAAGAACTAAATTACAGAAATCACTTAAATTTTAATATAGTTTAGTTTAAGTACAGCTTATTTGAAAAAAATAATAAAAAATATAGGTCACCGATGAGTTGAAAAAGATATTTCAATTTTTATGCAAAAAAATGGCATTTTTACACCAAAGGGAGATAATTTGGAGCTTTTTCAATGATATAAACATTTAAAAAGTCATCTGGGGTCAAAACGAATCGATTTTCTCGGTTGATTTTTGTACCATTTCATAAAGTAACAACTAATAGTATTATAAATAAAATTTGTAATGAAAAACAAAATGTTTGATTTTTGCTGAAATTTTTGTACCCGCGAGTCTCCTTAAATACCACTTTCAGCACTACTTAGTCTATCTCTTGGCAGTCAGTTTTTATTGACAGATAAAGTCAGAGTGTCCAATAGAACACACCCTAGGGATAATTCGGGAAAAACTTAGGTTAAATTAGAACAGTGGTTTCAGATGAGTTGAGAGTATAGTATCTCATAAGTTCCAAAGGTCAGTGGATGTAAATTTAAAAGTCAAGTATCTGAGCTATATATTTCTAATAATTTCTAATCAGTCTGATCAAATTATTTTCATGTATCAGAATTTAAAATATTCAAAATGCTTATTTGTAGTAAACCATGTCATAACAAAGACATATGATTAAATCTGGTGTTTTATCTTTGTTTTATGTAATGGTGGCCATGTTGGTTGGTTGGTTGTTTGTTTGGTTGAGTTACCCAACCAAATTTGTAAGAAGGTCACCCATGATACAGGTCAGTTTTAATTCAAATTAGTTAAGTGGTTAATAAAAGACTTATGACAATAGTCAAATCATGAAATGGCGAATGCAAAGCTTTAACAATAGCACCATGACCTTAGTCAAGGTGAGCTAAATAAAATTGGCAAACATAAATGTATATTCCCTGAAAATACATATAATATTTAGCTCAAACAAAAAAGCAAAATCAAAGTAAAGCATTGTAAAACACAACGAGTCCATGCCCACAAACCAAAGTCACTACAAATAACCAATGTACTGTGATGTAGCCTTATAACTCAACATTAAATCAGCCTTAAACATATAGCTTGAAAAATTTAGTTTCAAATTAACCTTTTAAAGTGAATTCAATTTGCTACGTGACCTTTATGCAAGTTTTAAAACAACATTAGATTTCCTTTAAAAAAATAACACAGGTTGAACAGTGTTAATGTAATTTCTGTTTTTATTATTGCATTAAATGAAGGTGATATAAACATGTGTAATAATTGTAATGAGTGGCAAAACTCCAAGCATAAGAGTATGTTCAAGGGAAGTAATTGTTTTTCATGTAATGGCTGAACATCACAATGCATTACTAAGCAGACAAAACAATTTCTTACTTTCTAACTGGAGGGTCGGCAATCATTTTGGCACCTCTGGTTTGTGTGGATGAACTCACCTGTGTTAGGAGACAAGCGGATATATTAATATAGAAATTTGGTGAGGTGGAATACACAGGAAGAGCTCTTTTTTTACTTTCAAGTTCCAGATAGATTTGATAAATATTTTTTGATATTTGATTTTCAGAAATCAAGTTATCGTCATTCTCCATGCAAGTTTTAGTGTTTATACATATTAAGTCTTAAATTAAAATTCTTAATTAAAAAGTCTACAAAAAAACATTAATTTGAAGACAAACAACTTTAAGCCTACCTTTAAATTTTTTTATATCTATTTAAGTTAATCGAAAATATCTTCATGCAAAAATGCTAAAAATGTATATTAAAAGCCAAATATTTTCATTGTGCATTGTAAACTACAGACTACTGTAAATTCAGAAATTATTGCGATGTTTTTATTATTGCGAAAAATGCAACAGGGTTATAATCGCAATAATTTAAACACGTATTTTGAAATTTTTTATATGAATTAAACAGGATTTTTCTCAATATCGCAAAAATTAAAATCGCATTTTAGTCTAAAATGACAAAATCGCAATAATAAATGGATGCAATAATTTCTGAATTTACAGTACCAGTTTTGTTATGGATACAAGTGTTAGTGTAACTAATTTTCTTGTAACAGATCAGTTCAGTGTGAATTTTCCCTAGATCTATTTTTGCATTTTGAAAGGTCCTAATATCAACATAACTTAGGCTAAGAAGCTTGTTTCTGGTAATTTTTCCTTAGATTAACTTATAATTGGTCTCCAAATTTAAACAGTCCATCTGCAAGAAAAACTGGTTACCTAACACACACTTATGGTTTTAGTTGTAAATACATTTAATATTATGAAGCTCTTAGCACATTGGGCGAAAGCTTTGCCTTTATTGCAAAATCTTTTTTTTCAAAACTAAGACTTGAAAATTAGTAAATTACCCACAAAAAATTAATTAAAGATATTTTGGTATCTTTTTTTAACAGAAATAACTCCAATGTTTTTAAATAAAATAAGCAAACCAGCAAAGTGACCAAAGCGGATATTCCTAAACTAATAACACAGTACATTATAATGTGAGAGAATGTTGAACTGCTTGTATGAGAACAATTTGAAGACTGTTTATCGCTGTCAGAAAAAATACTTTAGGCTACTCCAAATTGATTCATATTTTTTCAAATTCACTCGCTCCAAACTTTGGAATCCTAAAATATTTTATATTGAAATTCTTATGAGAATTTCTTCGTTATTACTCCATTTAAATAAATTAAACAATTTCAACTATTTCAGAGTGTTATATTTTTTCTCTCTTTAAAAGTTTTGTAGAAAAAAATTAAAAATATGCCTTCCTCTCAATGAATTTCAGGTATTGCTTGCTAAAATATTCATTTAGGATAAACCAATTAAAATAAAAATTTCGGTCGCTCGCTCCAATTTATGTACACAAAAATCTGAAAAACAAGTATTCAACTTGGAATGGCCTTAGTAATATTAAGTAAGTTATAATTTATGTTAAAGACCTTCTGGTTACATACAAATGAGAGGAGTCAGAGGACAGAAAACAAAAAAGTATTCTTCTTTGATGTCGGTCTTAAATTTTATCATGTGATGTGACTTTATGTGTACCTCAAATATCATATGTCATTTTTGTTAAAATTATATCAGATCTATGTTTGTTCAAAAATGTTAAATATCTATCTGTGTGTCGGTGAGTTGATTTAAAAAAAAATTTCAGAGTACTATATAAAAAAAAACCAACAGAAATACAATACTTCAAATTCTACACTATAGAGGTTACATTGAATGCTTACATTTTTATTTTTAATCTGTTGGCCATTTAAGTATTCTGATTTACTGGACATCAAAAAGACTACCATTTAAGTTTTAAATGAGCTCATGTCTGTTTTTCATTGTTATGGAATTCAATAAATTAATCTTGTTGTCCAATAAAGGTATTAATTTTACTCCTGAGCGTGATCTCTATTAACATGGGCAGTATAATTATAGTATCGGTAACATAAAAAACACATTATACCATTCTAACAAGAAAAGAGCAATGATGGACGTACCTATAGATGCCCAGTTTAACATGATTTCAGTTTTCATGAATGTTCTTTAGATGAAATCAGATATGTCATTAACTGTCGTAATTGAATAATGAATAACATCCTTAAAAAGGGATTTAATTATTTTTCTGATAAAAACTTCTTGCTTTACATGTTTCTCAGTTAAATTTTAAAAGGGCAAACAGCTCTAGACACCTTTTCAAGTTATAGATGAAAAGCGAGAAAAGTTTGTCTGGATTTTCATAATTCATCTTTCTGCTTAAATTATCAGTAATACATAAAATGCACAACTTCCTCTCATAGCATGCACAATATAAAGCAATTGCTTGCCTCTTAGCAATATGCAAACCTGTTGTTAAAAGTAAGTCAGACCAATGCTCATTAGCATAACATTTAAAAGATTTAACATTTTAAATACCCTAAATTTCAACTTTTTACAACAGGTATTATGAAAATTATATAATCTATTTCTGATGAATATGGATTTATATTCTTCCGTAACTTACATTGTAAAGACTTGTGAACAAAACATCACAAATTTTACTTCATATTCCAAAACAGCAATTGATTTATGACTTTTTGGGATATTTATGTATCATTTAATTTCTAGTGCAAAATACTTTAAAAGATGTATTTTTACCTTTCAAAAGTTCTTAACCCATTTAAAATAATCTAGTCTATTGTAGTACTGATATAGCACTATAATAACAATTGTCTGCCACCGACCATTTATTTCCATATCTGTTGTTAGCAAAATCAAGGGGAATAATTCAACCAGAAACCCTTTACTTAATACAGTAAAAGTCTAAAATATTTTGATGTATGATATAAAAAACACAGATGGTCATAATCAATTGATATGAGAAGAAAATAAAATAATAATTGCTATTGCTCAAGAATACAAAATGCTGTAAGATTTATTATCTTAATGTACCAATAAAGAATTGAATTTCCACATTTTGATGAAAAATTCAAATGTTCACTTTTATGGTTTGGAAAAAATATTGAAAATTCCATTGTTAAATCACTTATTGTAATGACCTATTTACCTTAACTGAAATAAAGTAGAAATATGAATGCATAAATAGAAATGTGAAATAATAAATATTTCAATCTTTTGAATGCAGGTGCTGCAAAAGGAGACAATAAACCTGGGCATGTGCCCTGTCTGTAATAGGGACCACAACAAAAGAACTGAAAGCTTGAACAAAGAAAAGTGTGGACCACTTACAAGATGCATGCACTGAAAAACAAAAAAACAGGAAAGAATAAAACAAAGAAGAAAATAAAGAGTTCAACAGTTTTTATTTAACATTAAAACATAATTTGTGTACAACCTTGTCATTATAAAATATGAAACATAAAACAAAACAATAGTGACAGTTTATCTTTCAATGGGAATTTTATTGTTCACATGGGAGGTAACTCTAAATTTTTTAGAAGAAAATATTGATTTTTCTATCAGGAATATTCTTCAAGGAAAAAAGCCAAACTGTTTGACTTAAATTCTACATAAGAAGCAATTATTCGGCCAAAAAACAGGTCTACTGCTTTTCAGACTATCCATTTTTCAGAATAAACACGGACTGCAAACAAATCTGGCAATATAATGACATTGTTCATGTAAAACAAAACTAGCAAAACTCAGATCATCATGGTCAAAGACGACAGATTTAACCTTTATAAAAGGCTAATCATGACAGAAGACTTTACGGTCATGATCTTTGTGATCACAGCCTTCTATGTTTGGAAAAAGTTCTACAAATCTATATACATCAAATTGCATCGGAACTGCATTGCATATACATTTTGGTAAGGCATCTTCAGTGGCTTCTATGTACACATAATATAAATATATAAAAATTGACTAGAGAATCATAAATTATTGTCAACAAACATACAATAACAATATTCTGGATGATTACGATAAAATGCTTGTATGTACAATGACGATAAAACAATATCTATATACTCTCAAACAATAACATGCATTTAAGACGAGATCTCTACAACATAACAGAAATAGTTTTTTTTTTGTTCAGAATTATAGCCTTTACAATATTCAATCAACTTGGAGAATACAACAGTATACAACATAAATACAGGAAGAAAGATTTGAATATTATGATTTTTAAGGTCAGATAAGTTACATTCAGAAAGAAGGGACAAATATAATATAACTGGAATAATCTGCTTGAAAGACCTTGATGAGGGCTTAAATCAATTTTGTAAGCATGTGTAGGACTTTTGTTAAAATCAGTCAAAAATTCAATTAGAAAATAATTTAATTAACTTATTAATTAAACTTTAAGGACACAGTAATCTGAAAATGTCCTAGTATATCACTTCTTTTTTTTCAATTCTAGTAAAAATTCCAACAGATAAAAGCATTTTTATTGTAAAAGTAGTGTAAAACAAAAAGTTCTACAAATCAAACTTCCCAAAGAATCCTTGCCAATACTTTAACCAGATTGATTGCAAGACTAATTTCAAAATTTTCAAGCCAAGTTTTCATTGATAAATAAACAAGTATATATACTGTTAAAAAATGGTATCACCTAATCATGTCTTTGAAGTCAAGAGATATATATATACCACATATATAGAAAAGCAAAAATTGTAAATAAAATATATAAAAGATTTAACTTAATAAGGAAAAATTTTCATAATATAAACAAATGAAATGTAAAATACATTCAAAATTGATAATGAAGAATTTCAGCATGAGGCTAGTTTTCATGCAAGTGAGCAAATGAAGATCACATACACCTATCACACACAACATTGTATACAACATCGCTATGACTTCCGTTCTTCAGAAAAGCACAACAAGGCTTCAACTACCTCTGCCTCTTGTTCTGCTCTTCGGTCTTGTTGATCACGATATTGTTGTTGTCGTATTTCAAAGTCTCGTATTCGTCTGTTATATTGTTCTACTTGTTCTCTGAGCATTGCATCTTCCGCCTGAAAAGGGGAGGTAAATCTAGCATTAAAATCTAAGCCATAAGGCTATTTTTTATTTTATTTAAACCTAAAGCTGTTAGTCACTTTTTTCAAGTTAAATTTACAAAGAGCATATGTCCTTACTTAAAAAGCTTTATTGCAAATCATTTAATATGCAAAGGCATTATAGTTTGTTAGTTTTTTATCTGAGGGGTAATGGGTCTCACACATGATTTGGTTTAACATATCCAAATAACTTTTATTGAGAATGATTCAAACGTTAAAACTTCAACTTTTGCAGTCCCTATGTATCACCTGGAGCTTGTAAATGGTAATATTTTTATTCTATTATGTAAGCACTTGCTGGACATGTGCCGGGCAGCACTAAAATGCATCATCTGCATCCAAAAACATGACTGCGGCTTATGCATTTTAAGATGCAATCCTTGAAAGTTTCAAAACAATGGAATAAAATATGGCTAAAAAATTCAATCAGCTGCTTTATGAAATGTGTTGCTAATTCAAAACATCAAAGAAAATGAAATTTTAATTAGTTTGAAGTTATTTTTTTGTCTTTTAACTTCTCCTGCAGGCTTTTTGCATCCATACTGCATATGGTAGTTCTGGGCTATTATTACAAGATATAGTGCAATAAAATAACAAAATGGGATACAGGCAGCTGACATTTCCTTCACTTGCTATCAGATATTGATTTTTTCTTTGTCTTTTTTGTTCCCATTGTCCTGTGGAAACTTTAATTTTACTCAGATGCTGCAGCTAAAATTATGAAACATTTGACATAATGAATCTGATGCTGAATGATTTAAGAAACACATGTGATATTTAGAATGGATCACTGCAATTTTTTTCAGGTTTGCAATCTGCATTTTAGTCTTTGTTTTCATTGTTTTCTTGTCTATAGATAGCAAGGCCTGGCCTATAGCAGATGGAGCAGGGAGATGTTTGTGGTTATCTATAGCTTTCAGGGACAACACAAACTTGGGAGGCTGGTGACTGGCTCATTCATATCTCAAATCTCAAGATGCAATACCATGATTGCGGAGTCATTACATAATGGCACAAAAAACCACAACAAATGATAATGTTGAAGAAAAGACAGAATTCAGCATATGGCATGGTTTCTAGATATGGAAAATGTGCTTTACTATTATGTAAAGAGCCCATAACCCTTGTAAAATACCCACTTCTAATATGGCCTAAAACACAAATTTTAAAAATGTATTGTTGGAGAAAATTCTGAAAAATGGAATTTTGAAATATGCTGCAGATGTTGAAACAATAGGGACATATTTTTTCAATTTTAGATAATAAACCTGTCAGAAAATATTAAATCATTGAAATTTTCACCAAGCATAATTAAAGAGAAAAGCAATTTCATATGATGCAACTTTGCAGTTTGCATGCAGGAAATACATTTTAGACATTGCAGAAAAGAAGACCTTTATTCATAAATCATATGATATTAAACAGTCCCCTTTACCACAAACAATATTAATAACATCCAAAACTTCTAATCTTTGCACAAAAGTGACAAATTTCTTTGTCAAAATCTCCATAAAACTGCAAAAATGGTTTCAATCTTGTTTTTTCCTTTTTGTTTGCCACCTTGCATCTTAATTAAACAATATTACAAAATCCTGTGTTTGTGAACAATTTTCTTCATAAAACAGTCCCAACATGGTCATTTAGAAACCAAATTGAAGGAAAATAAGTGTTTTAATCACAGTGAATCATGTTGCAAATGCAAACAAAATTATGATAGGGTGCATTTTAATCTGTTCTTGGGCCATATGCTCTGTGGTATTATCTTAGTTCAAACATTGGCTTTCATAGAGTTGACATTTTCATTTCATAGTACTGTTACATCAATTTTAATCAAGACAACTTTGATGTTTTAATTTCATCTTTCATATCAATTTTTTTTTAGTTCAAAATATTTCCTTTTACAATTGGTCCCTGGGGAGTTTTACCATCATCCAGCCAGATATTGTATTTTTTGTATTGTATCTTTGAATATGAATATTCCTAACTATACACAATGGAGATGTATTTGTTAATACCCCTTATTATCTTTTCAAAAATGTTTCTCACAAGTTATCAACATAAATGATGGTCCTAAAACGAATTCAAATTTTTAACAACAAAAAATTGCATAAAACAGCTGTTTTTTTTAACAGTTTTCTTTTAGCATGTTTAGGATTGTTGAAAAAATGTTTGTGTATCAGTATATATACATATAGAAATGCATATTCTTTTCAAAGAAAGTGAGAGATCCATAAGCATGTCCTTTTGACACTTCAGAACTTCAGTTTTACAATTTTAAAATAAAAAAAAGACAAGGACATGGGAGATGTAGGCAAAAGAAATCTTCTTTCCAGTTCACCTGATTCACTGAACAAAGCATAAACTTGCTCTCATTCCTAACTGTGTCTAGTCTCTGGCCTTAAGTCCCTCAATTAAAGACCTTATTAATAAAGTTGTCTCATACTTATCCTTGATTCAGATATGGGATGTTATTAAAAGACATATTTAAAAATTATCTGAATAAATAACCTATTTCACTTTTAAAATTACAATTCCGGGTGTTTTCTTAAATCTTAAGACAAGCTGAGCTAAAAGATGTATGCTATAATGTCAGCAAAGCCATCAAGCAATGGCAAATAAGATCAACAGAAGAAAATCCTTTCCCATCATGCACTGGACTTACCTCGGCTCTATCTGAGTCGAAATCTAAACTGCCTACGCCATCTAATCGTATTAAATCTAAAGCTCCTCTAAATATAACACATACTCCATTCAATATGAACTGTGATTTTAAATGTACCTGAAATAGATAATATGATGTTAAAACATTCTGTCTTTATACACTCTACAGATCTAAACTGATGGCTGTCTTCTAGTTCTTCATCTAATTGTTTTATCCTAAATGAATAATTGTAAATGTCTTACAAAACAAAATAAGTATCCCTAATAGCTAAATAGTCCTATAGAAAGGGATCACATGAACTCTTGGTCCTGTCTGGGCTATCAGAAACACCTAAATGGAAAAAAAAATCTAACAGTCCCTAAAAAAATTAAGAAAGGAGAATATTGGGCTAATAACATTTAGCTGGACCAGCTTTTTATTTGGAAGGGATACTAAGATTTATTTTTACCAAAAAAGTCATGGTGATATCCTGGTTGGGGATAGAGTTATCAATTTGTCCATAAAGCTTGAATAAATTTTGACTGACTGCACAGATTATGCAATTACTTTTAACTTTTAATATAAACATACTTCATGACACTTTAATATAAAATAAGGAGATGTGGTATGAATGGCAATGAGACAACTGTCCAACCTGAGACCAAATGATGCAGAAGTTTAGCAACTATAGGTCAATGTACAGCCTTCAACAATGAGAAAAACCCATTGAACCCATTAATAATTGTAATTTGTTCAAACAAATTGTTAAGCCTGTGTTGTAGTGTCTGAACCTGTGCCACACGTTTTTTTATTTATTATATAGGTATTATTATTTAATTTGTCACTAACATTATTTCTGAAACTATGAGTAAAACTTTGTCAGTCTGTAAAAATCTGGCAAATGGGAGAGAAAATTTACACAAAAATGTGAAAATTTAGTAACAAATGATAAAGGAAGCTTTGTAAACAAGCTGAAGTGACGTAATACTGTGCACCCACATCCTATTAATATCTATTATCCATGACATTCACAGGTGTGACGTAACATTTATTGTGTATCATATTGTATGTGATGTCATAGACAGAATATGTTATACCTCACGATGTAAAAAATGACAAACAGTTTACTTAATTCCCCGTCAAAATAGCTTTTTACATATCTGTCATTAGGCATTCCCCTTTAAACTACTGTATCAATAAAAAATACAGTAGAAAATGAAATCAATATGGTGTTTATTTTCTCATTTGATCAAACCCAATGCAAACAATCCCGAAATATCAAAACAAAACAAATACTGTAGTATATGGAAACACATTTTGTGACATCAACATAAAGTATCTATTACAATATCATATTTAATTGTTCAATAAATGGATTGGACAAAAGTTTTGAAACTTATAATCCTTTTACAAGAAGAAATTCTTTACAATTCATATTGTTGTCAAATCTTAATCTTAATCATAAAGTAATAAAAGTTTGTTTAAAGCCAAACTGTTAGCATATTAAAAAAAAAAAATCATCTTTTTATATGATAATTTGGACAGACATTAATATTATAATTTATTAATTTTCTTCACTGTCCTCTTGTTAACTTTAAAGAGCATAATTACAAATGATTGGTCTAGTTTTATAAATATGACACTATCACATGTATACGTCAATGAATACAATGATCAAATATATATTTCTTCTAAAATTACAGAAACAGATCTGAAAATTAATAAACAAGGAAAAGTTATTTAAGTACAAACAAACATAGAAGTCAATCTGAATACCACAAAAGGAACCCTCGCTAATAAATAAATACTTTTTTCACAACAGCATGTGGTATATTTTTGATTGTTTTCTATTTTAGTGAATTATTACATACAAAAAATCTATAAATATTAATGTTTATTATCATGATTATTCACTTTTTGATGATTTTTGCAATTGCTCAGAATGCAACAGGCCTACAGATGTTGCCATGTGCACTTGCACTACACAGGTATGGAGAGATAAGCATCTTGTAACTGAAGTATTGGGGATGGTTGGAGTACTGAGTCAAATGACCATCCTTTACTATAATGACTAATTCCAAAACACGCATTTTTGTATTTTACTGCCAATAACACTAAATGTGTTACAACTGTTTAATAGTTTTAGCATTCATTTATTGTGCCTACAAGTGCTAGAAATTATACTCAATGACATGTACCGTGCTGAACTTGAACAACACTTCAAACTAGCATTATGTTTAGCAGAGATAATAGAAAAGATTTAAGTTTCTATTTAACATACACTGAATTGCTAAAATCTGGCATTTTTGCTCTTGCCCTTTAAGTTTTTTTTTTTTTTAATTCTATTTATTTCTTATTTTTTTTATTTATCAATGTTTACATAGATAAATCAGGCAGTTGCTTAACAAATTTTGATTTGAAGGATAAACACCTTTTAGGGGGTTCTATTGAATATAGTGTTTTTATAATAGAAAGAGTAGGGATGGGTCCCCAAGGAGACCTGCAAGCATTAATTCGAATCTTGCTTTTTTTAAGTTTTTTGCCTTTTAGGATGGGTCCCCAAGTAGACCTGCAAGCATTAATTGGAATCTTGCTTTTTTTAAGCTTTTTGCCTTTTACCTATGTCAATAATATTAAAAAGTGTGTTCAATTATACACTTCAGGTATCGATTGACCAGGTGATTCAACAAGACCAATATTTTACTTTTTTAAAGGCACTTGAACCAAACTGTTATTAAAGCATTTCATTTAAATAACTTTATATTATCATCTCTAAATAAAACTGACCCAGGACAAAGAAAAATGTCAAGGCAAAATATATTTACAAAGGTAACTGGAGTGTAGCCATTGTATGTGTGGGTGGGGGTTTTCCGACTTTTGGTATGTAAAAAGTTAGTGGGTCACTGGCCATGTGACTCATTGATGATTTATTAGGTGTAATGAGGTATTATATCACTGACCACCCCTTTATCTGAATACATTTGAGATTTTCTGCCAAACTGTTTAAATATTTTGACTTCTGCCAATATAAACTATGATGTAATCTTAAGCTATTTAAAGAGTACTTATGACATAAATAAATAGATTTTCATCATTGTTATAGTTAAAAGAATTTAATTATAAAACCAACTATGATAGGAATTTTATAAGAATGAATTGAATACACCTTACAAAATTTATTCTTTATATAATAAAACATAAGTGGCATGCTATGCATTACAAATGAACTGAAATTATCTAGGACATTAGTACTGTCAGAGTTGTCTCCCATTAAATGTTGAAACAGAAAATTCACTTTGTACAGTATTAAAAATTTAACTTCTAATCTGTCTAATCTGTTCACTGACTTCATGCATTATTTTTTTATATTTTTCATTTTAAAGTTTTTGACTTAAGGCCATTCATTAAAATTTGGTGTCTTTTAAGGAGGTTTAATAGCGTTAATTAACAAGTTTAAAACCAGTGAAATCTATGAGAATGAAATTTAAATTTTTAATGCCTATTCTTTCCTTAAGTTAAGGTTTTTATATTAATAATAAGTTTCAATGTATGATTAGTAACACCACATATTATAAAGTTAAATTGAAAACTGTTTGTGTGAAATTTATAAAACTCAACTACGCAAAATGCAATTGTCAAAATTCAAGGTCAAATTGACATATTGTTATGTACATGTATCTTAAGGAAAATTATGGGGAAAAAGTGTTTTCAATAAATCAGATTATGATAGTGAAACTTTTACTAAAAATGTCATATTACATAAAAGATATTTTCACTTTCTTCTCACCTCAAGGAGATGATATGATAGGCTTTTATTCCATTAGAAAATTTAATGCTCTTTTCATGCTTGGAAAAATGTGGGAATTATTTTTATTCTTCTTCAATATTTGTAATTGTTTATTATAGTGACTTTTCATATCACTTCCTGATCAAACAATAATTACAGCATTTTTTAATTTTTAAAATCTTATTTTTCACCAGGAAATTACCTTCCTACCTATGTCTGAATTTTACTTATATGTGCACCAGTGTGTGAAGTCAATGATGTATTGCATTTAATGTCAACAAAAAGATGTAATTGCCTACATTTTTATTAGCCTCAAGCTAAAATCTGACATATCGAAATAAAACTGTACAAAACACTTCTATTTTACACGGCTAGTAATTGCCAAATGACGAAAATCTAATGTTGTATTCGTAAAAGGATCTTTGCATTTGTTTTTGATTTTGTTAATTAGAAAATCCTCTATAGAATTCCTCATTTAGCCCTGTACATAGCGCTGTGCAAATACACTAGATAATCATTGAGTCTATCATAACAGTTAAATTTGTCTTGCGGTTTGGCGAGATTCCATAAGCCACAGTATATTGATTAGTTTTTCAATATCATTCTAAAACAATCACAGATGATTCTGTTACCATCATCATCTGATTCTTACAGAATTACGTAGAACAGACACTTAGCGCTATGATGTCACTACTATGTAAGGATAATACAGTATCGGGAAAATTCCAAAACATGCAAGTAGTCACATTATTCTTATAATAAACATTATTAGTCTTCGCCAGTAAAAAGAAATAAACCAGATGACACCAATAAACATTACTGATGCATATTTATTGATCAGAAAGCCAACAAAACATGAGGATATTGTTAATTAAAGTTATTTTCTCATAAAAAAATAACAAAGTAAAATAAATGCTGAAAGTCATGTATACATTTCAGTACTAAAAATGTACATGGGGGTGAAAGAAAAATTACTTCCACTCCTTGCTTAATCATGTTAAATTTCAATATCATAGAATGGTATTTGTTATTAAGCAGAATACACATAAAGGTACAAAGATTATAACTTCTTTTGCCAGAGACAACAAATATATGTCAAAGTTTGCTGGGAAATCAATTTAAATGGTCATTCAACTCAGTAAGAAATTAGAAATGACTAAACTTGTTCACAAGTTCTTTATATAGTCTGCAACCAGGATATATGAACAAACCTAATGCATGGATCTATCTTATACTTTGGTTAACATATATAATTGTTGAAAATTTGTAAGATAAAAAGTATTTTTCTGTTTCGTGTATTTAGTACTTAAAGACAGTGAAAACAATTCTTAATTGCAAAACTGACCAATATTAAAAATAACTAGAGGAAATTTTGAAACTGACATTACAAACTATTTTATCAAAATACTATGAAAAGGGCTAAGGCATAACCCTCATCTATATATAATTATATATATATAATATGTACATACAAAAACATTGAATAATAACTCTGGAATATAGATAGTTTTAAAGGGTCTATAAATGTTTCTCTATTTAAATTGCAAGATTTCCACTTCAATTTATAAATTGGGAATCACTGGTATTACATAAACTTAAAATCTCCCCTACTGATCCCCATGTTTACAAAAATTGTTGAGAACTTATTCAGCTCCTGTTTGATAATATGTAATTTCCTTGTTTAATATTCATATAGACAATTGTGTATTGTACTTTTGTGAATATGTTAGTTTCATAAATATTTATTTTTTAATAACTAGATTTTTTAAAATTATCAATATGAAATCTACAAATATAACCGTTTTCAGTTTAAAGGCAAAACCATAATGGACATTGCCCCTTGACTCAGGTAGTTCAATAATGTCATCAATGAAGTACATGTATTATTTTTTTTAAATAGAAAACTTTTGTCTTGAACAAAAAAAATCCATCTTTAATTTGGAAAATTTTTAGCATCAAATTTGCACTGTCATATTCCATCAAAATTAGGACAACCATTGATTCTATTCACTTATATCAAAAGTATGATTACAAAGCTATGCATTAGCTTTTAAAAAAAGATCAAAACTGTAGTATCTAATTACTTAATAAATAAAGATGAGAAAATTCTTTTATTCAAAATATACCACAAATAATCCATGCAGTATGGTAAATTGTTGACCTATGTCCATTTAAGGACAAACTAAAATTTTCAGTTAGGAAAAAATAGCTTTGTTTAATCGAATACAATGTACTGATGAAAACAGATATCAGAAAAGGGTCGCTGAGATAGCCAGCCAAAAATAGAAAGGAACCAAAAATGGAAATCTAAGTCTGATGATGGTATATAGCTTTTCCTTTTAAGACCTCTCTCCTGTGTGAAGCATGTGTGACTTATTATTAAAATTGAGAATGGAAATGGAGAATGTTTCAAAGAGACCAAAGACCAAAGAGCAGAAATCAGCTGAAGGCCACCAATGGTCTCAACACAGTGAGAAAATCCTGCACCCGAAGACGGGCTTCAGCTGGCCCCTAAACAAAAATGTGTACTAGTTCAATGAAAATGGACATCACGCTAAACTCCAAAACATATAAATGAACTAAAAATAAAAAATCTGTTTCTTTGAGACTTCAGTAAAAAATTTCAAAAATATAAATGTCATTCATTTTGTACTTTTACAACAACGATCACTCACTTTTCCTGGTTCTCTGTCAAAATCTACAAACTCTCGTGTCGTTAATCGGTCTTCTTCTCGTTCCGACCAGGCATTTGATGAAAAAAGAAGAGGTATATTGGTCCCTGTTGCTACAAATGCCTTTAAAAAAGGGAAAAGAAAAATAAGTCAATTACCTGCATATAAATATTTATTTAAACAAGAGTTTTATTTGTAAAACAGTTTAATGTATAATGCCTTGAAATATTTTAAATTTGTTTGGTCAACATTGAAAAGTGTAATGGTTACAAAGAAGGATTAGCTGTCTATGTAGAATACTGTCCATGTAGAATAAATATCTATTAAAAAACTTTTTTTGTAAAATCATGGAAAACATTTCTTAGTGAATGTGTTTGATTTCATGACTGCTTAAACAAGATTCAACACAGCATCTTATTCTTTAGGCAGTTCAATAAATTGAAGCAGTCACTTTCTTTTAAGTAGTCATCGTTTGGATACTTTAGAATAATAAGAGACACATTGTTTTAAAGTAACCTTACTTCACAATAGCTTCTAATAAGATAATTTTTCAAAAATGTAAAAAATGCCATATAAGGAAGAAGATATATTTTAGATAGGAATGAAGCTTCTATTGTTTATTTCTTCAAAAGAACATAGAATGTTAAAAAAAATAAAGTTTCTTGATATCCTATTGTGCATATTGTATTTGGAATTGTTTTGTTTAATTTTTCAAATTTCACAACAAAAACTCAATAAACAATACTCTTTGTATTCATAAAGAAGTTTGGAGGAAGTGCTGGGAAAATATTGGCCACTTGACTTAATTTCTTTCCATTTTCCTATCTGTAATGGTGCAGTGATGAAGCATAATCATTACCAAAAAGGAAGACATCATAAATGTATACATCATATACATACTTTAAATTACAATAGCTTGTAAAAATTAAAATAATTAATCCTGAATTGTTTTTCTGCTTTCCAAAACAGGTTTTGAAATTTTGTAGTCTCTTCTAGTTTAATTATATTACACAAAGTTAAGAAAGCACATCTACACAATGTATAACATACGTACTTTCAATACAACTGTTGTTTTAACTTAGCGTAGGACGAGATAGAAACTTAAAACTCCAGGATTTAGAGTCCACAACCGTTGTAGTTTACTGCATGGAGTAATCAGAAATTATTCCCCAAAAAATTAAATTCCGAATCCAATAACGTTTCGTTTAAGAAGGATATCCCAAATTAAATTGAATGGTGTTTTAAGGTTGTTTTTTTGTTGTTATTAGTTGCTTATGATAAAATCATATCGATCTATATACATAAATTGTCACAGAATAGAAGTTCCTTCATAATATAAGTTCCAAATGGAAACAATATTCTGGAATATTATTTCCACTAGAATAAATATTACAGTAAATGTTCCTATCGGAATAAATGGTATAGAATATTTGTTCCAACAGGAACAGATATTATGACATTGTTTATAACAAAGTTTCCAATGGAACTTCTGTTAGGCGGAACAAATATACGTTGACAAAATGATCACCGAAGCCCATGTACTTTTATGTAAACCAATATAAATTTATACACATTCTTCTAACTATACATAAATTAGTTTTCAAGAGACAGAAATCTGGACAAATAATAAACATAAATATTTTTTTACAATGGATTTAGAATGGGTGCGTTCGATTAGCCTGTCAATGGTATACATAGAAAGGGTGCTCAACTCCGATTTCAGCTTATAGTGTCATTTTAGTTTTAATCGCTCGCATTTGGGGACAAAAGTTACATGAATTTTTATTTTAAAAAAATGCACAAGTCGATATAATCTGTGGCAATTTTTTATAAAAAAATAAATTAAATATTAGCATCTTCTGAAAATTCTCGCCCCATTTTTGGTTCACTTTGATATTTACTCAATACTGCAGATATTAAATATGGTGAGCCCAATTTTTGTACATATCCCAGATAGTTGGAAAATCTTTGTAAATATACAAAGTTCGTCTTAAGTCTTAATAAGTCGTGACTAATACTTATGAATGGAGGAAGTTTCTTTGTCTTGTCTCGGACTCTCCTCTTTTCTTTTCTTTGAAACTGTGCCGATATTAAGGAACATTGTAAAGACATATTTAAAATATGGGAGTGTCTCTTATGTGAAATTTTGTTAGACAACTTGCTAAATAAAATGTAAGTTGTGTAGTTGGCAAAGAAGCAGGAAACAAGAAATACTTATAACTTCCTCTACGTTTGTAGTAAATAGTCAATATATATACACACGTATATATCTGCGGTTTTGTTGTAAATAAAAGCGGATAGAATTGGTCTTTCCAAAAAATCTATTTTTGTAAACTCAACAATAACTTTGGTAGGTCTTAATTTTTCGGTCTTCCAAGAGTTGAATTTTCTGAAAAACCTGTTAAGCTAACAAAATAATAAGGACGGCCCTTTCTTGCTAAGAAAACTTCCATGCTATTGGAAAGAAAAGTGTTTGTTTCTGAAATTACTCATATTACATATTACCGCAACTTAAAAAGTTCATTAAGTGTGAAAAGTGACAACACTTACTATTTCTGCGTGTCCTTCCCTGCAATCAGTTTGAAACCTAAGTTGTCTCTCCTCTGTTGGTCGATCCCTAAATCCTGTGTATTTTACCTGAAATATAAGACATAATCCTAATACATATATATATATTCCTGGTAAAACTTGCGACACGGTACAATGAATGAACTTATATGAACTCCACAGGTAAGAAAGAAAACACTATATTATTCTCTACCTCACACTCTCTGCTTAATTTTCTAAATAGTTCGTCGTTGTCAAACGAAGATCTTTGATCAGGGACAACTCTTGGCATAGTTCTAAAATTATTATTTCCAACTTCGCAACACAACGTGTTCGCTACAAATGAAAGCATGCTGTCTGAGGTCACTTCATTCATTACTACATCACAACAATATTCTCGGTGTGACGAAATACAACCGACTGTTCCGATTGGTTGACGGAAATATATTCATGAATGTTCGGGATCACGGAGATCTCCGGGGACTACCTTATTTGGATATTGTCGACTTCGGGAATTCAGTGTTTACGCTACGTAAGCGGAAATCGCTTATTATGCAAACGACGTGATCAATATTTCATTATCATCTTCCATATAAGGTATATCTCATGAATAATTCATTAGCTTATTCCTTTTATGGAATGACGTGGCCTAGATTTTCTACTACACATTTACAACTTACTACCGATTTTATAGTAAACAAAACAAGACTTCGATAAATTATCAGAAATTTCTTAGTTATGTTAATGACTTAATTATATAAAATCGTGATGTTTTCATGTTGTTTAGTCTTGCGATGTTGACTAATTTCAAAACAATCAAAGCAAAAGTATAAAGGTTGAAAACGTGATTGCGATATGCACCACCAAACAAATATTGACAATTGTGAAACTGTTTTTTTTTTCAGTTTATTTTTTTAACAGAGAAAAAAGGAGGATGAAGGTGATAAAAATTTAATAAAGAATTGTCATGTACAGGAGCGTCTGAAAACACCTACCTACAGGCATATTCATTTCTTGGGATTAGTTTTGTTTACTGTAAATGTAAAAGTTCATAATATCTTGCATAATAATTAGCTTTTAATGATTTATTATTTTTAATATGTAACTTATTCGTGTTATTTTCTCTGCTGAAAGCAAGTTTACAATCATCCTGAAATTTAAAAAAAAAATTACGACAAAATACATTTTAATTCAGTGACCAAATTTGTTATTCCAGCAAAAAAAAAATGCATTAGGAACCAAGCCTACAAATTATTCGTTCTGAAATAAACTAGTTTTTTGTGTGTGAGCGTTTTTTTTTAGTTTTTTTTTTGCTGTTCATGTACTGATTTGGTGCCATGGATGGATATTCCATATCCTTTGTTTTTCTATTAATCTACTTTTGTGTCCTTTCTGGTGTGCTAAAAACAAGCATACCAGCTATTAGCTTGTACGGAATTTCGTATTTAACACATTCATTTTTCTTTCATTTGTTTTCTCTTCCTCTGTTTGTTATATTGGTTGTACTCAGATCGTTGTTTCCGTTCGTCATTTCGCTAACTATATCCGCAATTTAGTTGTTTAAGTGTGGAAAACTTCAGCCGTAAAGGAATGACAACACTGAATATTTAGTACCTATGACATGCTGCTCTTCCAATGTTATTTCTATATGAATGATTTGTTATTAAGTCAAACAACAGGCGAAAGATATCAAGGGGACATTCAACACTCATAAGTCGAAGTAAAACTGATAACGCCATGGCAAAAAACTAAAACAGACGATATGACAATCTTTCTACGTAAAGACAGAGTAACGTGAACCGGGTTGAACTCGGGTGCTCCTGAAGCGTAAGCAATTCATGTAACAAAATTCACTTTACCACATATGACAAGAAGTGTTTAGAAACTCGTCCTAAAAAAACACCCGATTGCATTTCAGTTGGACATCAGAGAAACAATATTTATCTAATGGTACACCGTATTGTGAACTGCCTTTTTCAACCATTAGATTCGAATTATTATTTTTTTTATGGCAAAACATCGACTCTGCCACTTCTGAGTATCACATGTTATTGTACATCTCTCATTTTTGTTTCTTAATTTTTGTTTTCTTTTCGTGATATTTTAGTCTCCCTTAGCAAATATGGAATGTACTTCACCATAATGAAACGGGGGTTAAGTTATCTTGTATCATGTGCCAATGGTAACGTCAGTGCATGGTTGTCGTTGGTTAACGTCTGTTAATAATTGTTTTCGTTTAATGTTAAAAGCTTAAATCTGGGATTTGAGATATGTATTAGTCCCAGCTTAAATCAGTCCGCTATATAACTTAAAAAGTTTCATCTTTTTTATTTTTTTTACATTTTTCTAACCCATGGCCTTTTACTTTACAGTGTCAGGTTTGCTCATTGATGAGGGTCGTACGGTGATCGTTGTTTACATCCCTGTCCTTAGATGGAGGGTTGTCTTGTTGGCAATCATACCACAACGTCATCAACCTTTTTCATTTGTAAAGTTTTGGAAATTGATTATCGTAATGTAAGCAAGTACTTGTCTATTTATCGATATTAGAGGGGGGCTCAGATTACGAAATGTACACAAAAAAGGTCCCCTTTTCGTGTTTTGACGTTTTCACATAAAACTGAAAAGAATTTGTAGATATACTGATTAAAAAATGTACTTACTTTATGTATAAAATAATTAATTTATCAATAATAAAGCATAGCATTAGTACTACTTCATCTACTGTGATATTTGTATTTATGTACAAATGAACTAGATTGTAAAGTCCCACAACTATGGTAACTTTATAAGTTTTCCGTTGCACCTATTACCTAGGACCAATAGATATTACAGTAGCTATTACGGGCTATCGGTACTGTAGATGAAATAAACAACACATATCAAAATCTGCTGTACACGATTGCAAAATCCATTGTATTGTAATTGCTATCGCAACTGCAGACAAAAATCTCATCGGATGTACGCAGTTGCAAAAACAATTGTTTGAATGACTGACAATTGGGAAAGAAGTCGTGAGTGCGGATTCTGAGGAGGGAACTGTATAAAGGGCGTACCCCTTTGATCGGAAAAATATCGAATTTTTAGCATATAATTATTAACAAAATATTGCATCGTTACGCGGCAGAATTTTTATCATTTCTGACAATCATGCCCCTTACTATAATCATACAAAGAGAAAAGAAGAAAGGGGAAATAATAAGAATCTGGTTTTCTATTTATTTACTGCTTAAACTGAAGCAAAGTAAATGGAAAAGAAAAAAAGTTCGAATAAATTAAGAAAGTAACACCTTAAATAAAACGTCTGATATTTTTGTATAGATAGACATCTATTCGATAATTTATATAGTCTAACCAAAAAGACAAACATTTTTATTTTATTTTCTATTTTTTTCCATTGAAATTGTGTAGAAATTATTCTGGCCATTTTACAAGATCCTTTAATCCTAAACAGTGTGTAATGTTACCGTATGAAATCTACTCAAAAGTATCAGTCACCTACATAACTCGAATAATTCAAGCCCTTTCCGTGTCCGATTTTCTCCCACACGAGGTTAATGTAGCCTTCGTAGATCAGCGGAATATAACGACTGAATTATTCGGGTTATCACCTACAAGGCTATTTATACCAAGATGTCGCTAAATAAAATTGTATACCCTTCATACACACTTTTCAATAACATATGGTCGAATCGCTGAAAGACACCCCCCCCCCCCCTTTCCTAAATTATTGAAAACTATCATTCTGCACTGACAATAATATCTTGGTGTAAATAAGATACTCCAATTCGGGCTAACGCCCTCAAGGTATATCTAATACATGATTAGAGTGTAGGACGGCATGGTTTTTGTAGCAGCAGGATCAGTACTTTCAGCTTTTTTTTTCAGTAGCTGCGGGCATTCTTTGATACAGTATAATCTATTTTTGTTTTAATGTACTTGTGTTCTTGTCACTTTTATACCAGTTCCATTTTTCTGGAAATGGTTTTTATGGTATATGACACTGTTGTGTTTACCGATATTAGTGAAAAGTGACAAATTTACATATGTTCTTATTGGATGTTGTTTTGTTTATTGTAAGAGGTCTGGACTCCAGTATTCAAAAGAAGTCAAGCATTCTAAGTACTACACAAACATTTACTGGGTCATTTTTCGATCTCCATCTGCAAGTCCAGTGAACTTGACCCCACTGAAAATAAAGTTCAAAGGTTCAGGCTTAATCAAAATGAAAGACCTAAAGCAGCGATGAAATGATATATTTCAGAAGTTTTAAACTGTGTATTTTAATCTTTTTCACATGTATAGCTCTCTAAGTAAATACCTGTATAAAATATAAGATTCCTTACTACAATAAACAAACATCTAAATGAAAATATCAAAATATGTTCCTATTGCTTTGGACGATAGTGAGGTGTGTGTGGAATAGACCAATACAATGATTCAGATTTTTCTGAAATCTAACAAATTTACCAAGCTTAAGAAATTCCAGGAGTGCCCTGTAAAGCTTTCAATGCTCCGTGCTTAGGTCGGGTTAACGATTATATATTTCTATTTTGATTCGAGCGCCACTGATGAGTCTTGTGTAGACGAAACGCGCGTCTGGCGAAACAAATGATATAATCTAATTTAATGGTATCTTTGATGAGTTTTTTCTATTCAAAACTCATATTTTGGAAAAGAAGTACTAGATCCACATATAGAGTTAAAAACACTTATTGGGAAGATACATAGGGCTGCCGAAAAAAAATCCTGACAAAAAAATGTGACAAATTTATTAACCAAAGTTGACTTCATTTCGTATAAGTTAAGACCCCCTTGAAATTAAATTATCTCTCAGACGTTCGAGAGAGACGATTAAAGAAACAGCAGAGCTCTTTGTTGTCAAAATCATGCCTAAACAGAGCTCTTTGCTGTCAAATGTCTACAAGAGGACCATTTTAAACATAGATTTATTTCTTCTTCAATATGAGTAATAATATCCTGTTCAAGGTATCACATCTTAAGTATATATCATTCAATTTATTATCCTCAGTTTTAGATAGTAAAAAAATGTTGTTAATCATATACTGTAAATTAAAAATATTAATGCAAGGTTTTTATTAATGCGAATAATGCGACTGGGTGCGTATCGCAATAATAAGAACTCTCATTCTAATATCTGATACATATATTTATCAAATGGCAAATATAAATCATGCGTTTTTGTTCAGTTTTCAAGAATTACAATAATGAATGCACGAAATAATTCCTGAATGTACAGTACACTTCTAAAAAAGCTTAACATTTCAGGCTCATTTGACAGCTAAACAACTTGTTACACCACTGTCCCAGGTTAAGTGAGGGTTAGGCCCTGCAAACATGTTTAACCCCGCCACATTCTGTATGTGCCTGCATGTCTCAAGTCAGGAGCCTGT